CATTATAGGTATGGTACACCCCACTTGGCTTAAAGCTCTTTTAATTTGATGGTATAATAAAATATATTCTATCTTTTAAAAAATATTTTCTTTTCAAAGTAGCTTTTAACTTGCTTTATGAACTATGGGTTTTATATATAAGAAAACCTTCGGCCAGGTGTGGTGGTGCACACCTTTAATCCCAGCACTTGGGAGGCAGAAGCAGGTGGATCTTTGTGAGTTCAAGGCCAGCCTGGTCTACATAGTGAGTTCCAGGACAGCTGGGGCTACAAGGACACCCTGTCTCAAAAAGACAGAAAAAAAAAAAGAAAGAAAACTTTCATCAAAATAATTATTTTAAAATACTATAATATTTTGATTCCATAAAGATTTTTAAAATATTTTACTATTTTATTTTATGTTATGAGACCTTACCTTGGTGTTTGGGGGAGGACTGTGGAAGCGTTTGGAACTTCGGCCTGGAAAAGCCATTGACTGCTTAGAGTTTGTTGCTGTGGAGCTTGGAATAGTTAAGCTGAAAGAGCTGTGGACAACGGAGGCCTGGCTTGTGACACTTCCCAGGGAAGCAGAAACTATCAGGGCTATTTGTGTGAGATTTTGAATTGAGAATCTGTGGATTCTGGTCAGTTAGGGCTGAAGAATCAGCTGTGATTTTAAGAAGAATCCAGAACCTGAAGTAAAACCTTTGCTTTACTGGGAGAGTTGATGCTGGTTAGCTGGGACTGGAAAATCAGCTGTAAGTAACAAGAGACCAGCATCACTGTGGTGAAATCTGAGAGGTATTTCCTCAGGGTCAGCACCCGGAGGGGACTCGAGCCTCCATCTCAAGCTGGAAGCAGGACTTGGTAATACGTAAAAGTCTCCTGCACGGATCTGGTGTTGAAAGCGTGACAGGGTCACAAAGAGCAGCTGAGGCTTGGCACTCTGAGAGGCCAGGAAAAGTCATTGGTGAAAAGTGCAGCCTCAGTTGCAGTGAAGACCCCAGGATTGAAGGAGTCATGGAGAGAATCTGAGGTGTTGCACCCCAAGAGGCCAGAAGAGGCCATTGGTCAGAGTGCAGCCTCAGTTTCGGTGGAGACCCCAGCTTTTTGGAGATGCTTGGACTGTGGGACGACCACCAAGGGCAGCAACAGATATGGAATGCAGCTGGCCTGGGTCTGCAAGACTAGCTGTGGACGGCAGAGTCCGAGAAGTGGAGCTACCAGAACCCTTTGGAGCCTACATGATGGTGAGTGAATCCCAGATGTCCAGCCTTGAGCTACTTTGCTGGACTTAGGTTTTACTTAGGTGTGCCGGATTCTTCCCTTTGAAATAAGACAGTGCTTGTTTGGGATTTTACAGGAGCCCAGTTATGAGACTTTTAAAAGAAACTGTGAACTTTTAAGTGTTTGGATTTTCATCATATTTTGGGGACAAGAAATGGAAAGGCTGTGACTGGATAGTGATATGTTTGTGTATCAAGTTGACAAGGGGTCAATTGTGCTGGATAGCTTTAGTGTCAACTTGACACAATAGGTAGAAGGATCTGCAGTTGGTGAATTGCCTCCATTGGACTGGCCTGTGGCCATGTCTGTGGGGCATCTTCTTGATTACTGAGTGACGTGGGAGGACCCAGGTGTTGCCACCCCTGGGCAGGTGGGCCAATGTTGTATAAGGAAGCAGTCTGAGCAGGGGCCAGGGGAGCAAGCCAGTAAGTAGCATTCCCCCATGGCCTGTGCTCCAGCTCCTGTCTCCAGGTTCCTGCCCCAAGTTCCCCGATGAACTGTGACCCTAGAAATGTAATATAAAATAAACCTTTTCCTCCCCAAGTTGGCATTGGTCAGTGTTTTGTCACAGCAACAGAGAATCAAACTAGAATAGCCCCTCAGCCAAAAACAAGAATTTAAATAGATACAAGGTTTCTATGCCCCCGATGAGCAAATTATTAATTCTAAATGTTATTCTAAGCTTTGGAAAATGAAGACCCATGTTGAGGTTAAAAATTTCACAGACATCCATAATAAACTGTGGTTTTAGATCTACTGACTGAGCTATGAAAAAAGGGTATTATGAACACTGGAACACCAAACCAAAACACTACTACTCAAATGAAATAGAAATTTGTTTAATGTAATCATATGAAGTTTCTTGGCTGGCACTGCGGCTTCCCAAATTGCAGGAGCCCAAGCCCCTCTGGCAACATTTCTGCTATTTTCAAGTGCCACTCCACCTCGTGATCCAAAACAACTGTTTCCCTCTAGCATCGCAACCTTATTCCAGCAAGCAGAGAAGACTCACTCTTCCTTCTATGCTGACATGAGTTTTAGAGTCAGAATAACCCAGCTTCTGACTATGGCTTATCCAGTAACAAGCTGTGTGATGAAGGGGCCAGTTACTTGATTGCTGTAAATACCAGCTTTTCAGAAGTAGAACACGGCATTCCTGCTTAGACTGTGTCAACCAGAAGTCAGTGAAGTGACAACATTCAACTAACTGCAGGAGAAGCTAAAATCTAGGCTTTATCCTAGATAGTACAGTATTTAGTACCTATTATGAAAAAGGAGAACATGAGATTTGGGGAGCTACAGGTCCCTGTCATACTCTTTCTAAGAGCAGGTAGCATATTAAGAGAATAGTACTATCACACTATGGAAAATCAAGGCTAAACATGTGTTTGAGACAGGCTACTTATTTAATGTATAGTCAACATTTGGTTGAGCATGTGAATTTGAGGATCTGGTCACAAACTGGTCTCCACAGGAAGCTGTCCAGAGCTCTAAGACAGTCTGCATGATGTTAAGTTGGAAGGGTTTCACGGAGATGAGCTGGGCCTGAAAGAATGTGCCAGATTGTGAAATGGCTGGGGAAGGGCAACCAAGACAAAATTCGACAGCAAAGGAAGGAGCCAAGCAGGGCAGTTTGGCTGGAGCAGAAGGCATGTGGAAGTAGTTTATAAGCCCAAACAGGATGGATGTAATATTTATCATAAAGAAAAATACTCAGAAGCCAGGTTAAAGAAGGCTGAAAAGTTTTAGAAAATTTTGAATGGCTCTGTGGGCTGCTAGATGTGTGACCTCAGAAATAGTTAACCTCTGTGAGCTTTGACTTCCTCAACTGTGAAATGTGGGCAATAATTACTACCTCATTAGGGTTGTTTTGAGGTTGAATTGAATATGTAGTCAGCATCCAATAAATACTAGCTATTAATAAAGTTTCTGAGCCAGTCAAGTAATACGGTAATTCTGGAAAGAGGTAGCCTGGGTAGGAGTGATGGGAAAAGGTAGACAGAGCAAAACAACAGCACGTAATACAATTCAGCTGATTCACAGAAGTTTGCATTTTATGCTTTAGGCAAAGAAAAACTGGAGTTGGCAGAGGGAATGTTGAAGTATATCTGTGGAATCTGTTAGGACTGCTGCCAAACTCCAGGCACAGTGATGAAGCCTGAAATAAGACAGCAGGTGTGAGGATGGAGGGAAAGACCAGGCTATGAAAGGAACTTGAGGTAAATGTTTACAGTCAAAGAATGAAGAAAGAAGGGCTTGTGTGACTGGATGCTCAGTGGCACCACTCGCCAAAATCTAAGAAATTAAAGGAAAAGCAGAATTGGGGGTGGGGTAGAAGTAATAAAAGTTCTGGAGAGGTGACACAGGGCATTGGTAATGAAGATACCTACTAGCCCACTGGATGTGCAGAGGTGGCACCAAAAGTTGCATGTGGAGCCAGCTGTGGTGGTGCACACCTGTAATCCATCCTAGTACTTGGGAGGCTGAGACAGCTGTATCATAATTTTGAGGCTATCCTGGGCTACACAGAAAGTTCCAGGCAAGCCTAGGCTATATAGTGAGACCATGGGTGATGGGGAGCAGTATCTGGGTGTGTGGGATAGTGGAGTGTGGACTTGGAAGTCTTGTGAAATGGGAGTAGTTAAAGCTATTGGCACAAAGGAGGAGCTCACCCACAGAACTTTAAAGCAGAACAGTGAAGGGCAATAGTTTCAATAAGAAAAGAGAAAGAGAAGCTGGAAAGGGGGGATAAGATTGAGAGATCAGAGAACTGGAAGACAGTGGATGCCAAAGAAGCCAAGGGAAGTAGGAGTGGATAATCAAGTCCTCGAGTTCAAATTGTTCAGTTGTTAAGTGGTATGATACTAAGTGCTCATAAGAAAGTTCATGCTGGAACTGGACTGGAAAGGAACCGCTGACTCCAGAAATCCTACTCATCCCCTACTGCAGTGAAAGAGCACTTTGGGCTTAATGCCTGGAGCAACTTCAGTTTCCCACTAAATAGAATTTGCCAATAGGCTGGAGCATTTCTGACATGCTGTGTGTGCCTATACCAACAATTTCTCTCCCTCTTCTTTCTCCTTTTCTTCCTCCTCCTCCTGCTCCCCCTTTTCTTCCTCCTTCCCCCCCGCCCCGCCTTCTTCCAGCACCTGCTGACTTAGCCCCTGCTAGACTGTGAAATTCCTGAGACTTATTCCCTATTTTGTAACTGTACTTTGAATACATAATCACTCATGTTTGTTGAATGAAAAGCCAAAGCAAATAAGATAATAAGCCAGCAAGAGATGGAAGTGTTGAAGGACATTAGTAAATAATAGAAGTGGTTAGAGCTCTTAGAATCAGCGCAGTCCTTAGGAATAAGCTTTGCTACAACCCATCTGTCTGTAACCTTAATCAAGTTGCTCAAATATACAATAGGAATTACAACAGAATGTGCTCTAAAAATAGCACTTCCTAAATGATGTATATATTTGGCAACATGTTTAGTACAGCTCAACTTCTCTGAAATAACAAGAATAATGTATAGAAAAATCTTAAAACAATTATAAATCAACCACTGTATTTTTGCTGTTGTTGTTTACTTGCTTTTGTGCTACTGATTTTGTTTTTTTAAGACATGGTCTCATGTAGCCTAGGTTGGCCTTGAACTTGCTGTGAAGTTGAGGATGACCTGAACCCCTGGTCCTCCTGTCTCCATGTCTGAAGTGCTGGGATTATAGAAGTGAGCTACCTCACCTGCTGAATTGACCAGTTCATCAATGCCATCTACTAGTGTTTACTGCAACCAGGAACTGCACAGCCACATAACAACGAAGTCATGGAGATAAAGCCTGACTCTCATGTAGATGATGCAGCATTTGGAGAAATTAAATGAAGTCATTTCATCTGAAACAACTTTAACAATGATTAACACCCACCATACAAATCAGTGGGCCCCTTCTTTCAAATATATCCAATAAAAATATAAAAAGGCCTCTACACAGTTCTTACCATTAACTAAATAATGGAAAGTTTTGGCTACACACATTTGGCAAAAAAGGAAAAGCACAGGACTTTCTTCTATGATCTAATCTTTGCTATTAAAAGCCAAGGGGAAAAAAATAAGTATCCCCTCTAAATTGTACTTACAAATTCTTCTTCTGTAATATCTGGTGGATCTGAAACAAGATAAAATATTACATTATCGCACTCAAATCTGATTTCCTTTCAGAGTAAATGAAATAATCTGAGACAGTGCCTCGCCCTACTTTACACAATGGGCAAACTTGGTCAGATTTTGGCCCTCCGTTCATTATCTGCACATGGATTGAATTTGAAGTTGGAATTCAAGGCGGAAGTGGGGAGAAAGGCCTCTGGAATCCAGTTTAGAATCCACTGTGACCCCAGAGCTAACCTTAACGGATGGAGGGCGGGAGTGGCCCAGGACTTCAGCTGCAAAATGGAGAATTAAGCAAGGTGACGCAGCACCGTGCCAACGTGAACCTGAAGGTGGGGAAGTTCGGAATAAAAAGCAGGGAGAGGGCAGTGAGGCCAGGTTTTGAGTGTTGGAAGCCGGGCGTGGGGCCAGCAGCCTGCAGCTCAGGTGCGGAGCTCTGCGGCCTGGACTCCGCGGCCCGGCCCAGCCACCTACCGGCGGAGAGCCGCTTCTCCGGCATGCCGAAGGCCGCGCTCGCTCGCTCGGCGTCCGCGAGGCCGGTTCAAGCCGTCCCGCCAGCCCAGCTCTCCTCGGATCTACCCCGGCAGCGCTGCTTGCGCCCGGGCCAGCCGGCCACGAGTTGCTATGGAGCCGGGACAATGAGGCCGCGCAGGCCGAGGCCCGGCCGTGACTCCGGTCGGCTCTGAGCCCGGGCGGCCGCTCCCGCCTTCCCTCCGTTACTGCGGAGACCGCGGCCGGGGAGGAGGAGACCAGTCCTGGAGTTCAGCGCAGCTCTGAATCTGAAAGGCCTGTGGATGGGGTGATCAGCCCCGGGCTTTCGGAGCCAGATCTCCCCTTGCACCATTTTAAGACTGTTGTGTTATCATGAAATCTGACGTTTAATAATTACTCGAAAGAGGCTGAAGCATGAGGACCATAAACTGAGATTATCCTGTAATGTGTGTTCCGGAAAAAGGATGAAAAGAGCCAGGCGTGGTGGCACACACCTGTAATCCCAGCAGTTGGGAAGTACAGGCAGGAGTTCCAGGTTCCTCAGTTAAAGAGTCAAGGTCCGCTTCAACTACAAGGAGATAGTGCCTCAAAAAGAGGTGAAAATCGAAATCAGCAATTATTCTAAATATGCATTTTTAGTTTATGTAAAACTCATGGATATCTCAAATATGTGGTTCTGACTTTTCCCTGTGAGGCCAAATGAACTCCAGAACTAATTGCTTGCTGCCTAAAAGGAAATATACACCTTCCCACCCCATTATCTTCAGATTTCATCTTCTGACCCAGAGTGGTGGCAAAGACCTGTAATCCCAGCACTAGGAAGGCAGGAGGATCAGGAAAGAGTTCAAGGCCAGCCTGGGCTACACGATAACCTGTCTCAACAAAACAACACACACATACACCTCCCTTTTATAATCATTAAGTGATACTTTTATTTGCCGAGGAACTCAATCCAAAAACCTGGGAGTTTCCCTCTTAAACCGTCCCTTCCAAACCCCATATTCAGTCAAGCACTTGGACCTGCTGGTTGTACCTTAAAATATTTCTGGAATCTGGAATCTCTTCTCCATTCCCACCAGCAATCACAGCCTTAGTACCGGCTCCCATCTGGACTGTTGTAAAAACTTCCTAACTTGTCTGTCTTCCAGTCTTTTCCAGTGGAGTTCTCCTTAAATCCATTATCCATGCTGAAAGTAAAACCATCCATCTAAATGCAAATCTGACCTACTTAAAAACCTTCAGTGTGGGGGTGGACAAAAGGCTGGCCAGAGCAGGGCAGGTATGTGTATGCTCTTAAGACTGGGAGCCTGCCTGGTTATATTTATTGCTTTTTCAATATGACATAGGAAAAGACAAAAGTGGAACAAGCCACTGCCTTTGCCAGACAAAATCGGAAGGCCAAATGAAACCAAGGGAGGGCTCAGAAGGGAGCAGAGAGGTAAGGAGAGGTACTGGGGAGCAGGATGCATCATGGTCCTTGTGGAACTAGCAGGGACTCTGGCTTTCATTCTAAGTCAAGTGTGAACCACAGGAGAGTTGAAACTGAGAAGTATCATGATTTAACTTTTATGAGAAAAGTGTCACTCTGGCTGCTGTCCAGAGGATGTGGATAGCTCAAGTACAACCAGGCAAACACTTGATGGAAGCTTGGGGCAGGCAGGACACGTTTATACATTTTAACAGTGGAGCCTAGAGGATCTTCTGAGAAGCTGAATCTGGGAAAGGAACAAGCATTTAGGGATGACTGAGTATTTTAGCCTGAACAGACAGAAGAGTGTTGTCATAAACCAAGATAGGGAAGATTGTATGTGGACCACTGTAGAGAGGGAAAGTGTGAGATGTCCATGAGCCATCCAAACCAAGATTTTGAGTTTGCGGTTGACAGAGGAACCAACCCATTATGTGGGATATCAACTTGAGAATCAGTTCACAAATGAGCTTTAGTTTTTCTGCCACCACAGAGGGACCCTTTGAACTTTTCTTTTTCAGGCACAGTTTTCTCATTTTTCTACACTGTCTGATCAGGAGTAATTTCCTCCCCTATCTATGTTCCCATGGATTTCTGTCACCGGCTTCTCCTCTTGCTCTTGTACACTTGATGCAAACATGTATTTCAAAACATGTATTTTAACATATGGTGTTAACACAGGCATATTAACATCAGTGTTAACAAGAACTGAACCCTCTGTGCTGCCATCAGATGGTAAACTGGGCAGTGAGGGGGCTACATTTTATTATAAGCCCTCTCTCTGCATTGAACTCACTATGGTGTGCGTACCATTAGGTTGGAATGAACTTCTGGAGTTCCTCGCCATCAGAATCATCTGCACGGTGCTCTGCTCACAGATTTGACTTCTACATTCCTATTAGGCAGCCATACTGATGAGAAATTAATGATCTGTTTTAACATGGACAGTGGCTCGGGCATTACCCTCTTACCAGGAGTCTCAAACAAGAACCTGAGTGGGTCAGCGTTGTTCTTCCCAAGTTACAGTTTAGAAAACTGAGACCTAAAGACGTGAGAAAATTTATGCAGACACATGTTAATCCATTTCTCACATTCCAAAGCCTTTGCTCTTAGATGGCTATGTTATATGGCCTTTTTCCCAAAAAAAATAATCTCACAAGATTAAAAAACAGCATGAGAATCACAAAGACAGTGACTTAAATCAAATGCCTATACTATAAACTGTTCTCATGTTTTGGTGATTTTGATAACTTTAGGCATAATTCATATATCAATCAATCCACTCCTTTTAAGTATGGAACTTGCTGGATTTTAGTATGTTCAGAAATGCACAATCAGTATAAATTTAGAACATTTTCCAACTCTTCAAAGAAATTGCGTAGCTTTTTAAGTATACCTCATCCCTGTGTTACCCTAATCTACCTTATGTCACCATATTGCCTATTCTAGACATCTCATATAAATAAGATCATGTCACATGTGGTCTTTTGTATCTGGTTCCCCCCCACTAAATATGTTTTCAAGGTTCATGCATGTTATGACTTGGGTCAGTACTCCATTTTGTGAATAAATAGTATTCCATTATATGGCTATACCACATATTTATCTATTCATTCATCAATGGACATTTGAGTTTCTGATTTTTGACCATTAATGAATAATGATGCCATATACTGATTTGTGTGCATATATACATACATGTGCTTCATTTTAAGTACCTGCCAGAATTGCTGGGCCAACTGACAACTCTATGCTTAAATTTTTGAGCAAGTTTTCCTCAAAACTGTTTTCTGTACCAGTCTGTAGGCTACCAGCAATGGATGCATGTTTTAATTTCTTTTCACAGTTACATTTCTCACTTGATTTTTTTAAAAAATATCATCTGATGTTTATGGGCGACTGTGCTCTCTTTGGGCGCAGGGGGCGCTCACTCCCTGTGGGTCCGCAGACTGCTCTGGGGAGCAGCGGCTCCGGGAGTGGCACGGCGGATCCGCAGACTTTCCCGGCGGCTGCTTTGGGTCCCGCGTCTCTGGGAGTGACGGCAGCTGGTGGCTGTCGTAACTTCTCTGGTGTTGGGAGCTTGCTCTGCTACTGAAGCATTGTCCAGCCGGAATCCCATCCCTATTACACCCGTGTACCTTTCCTCAGGATTGCGGGGTTCCTGGCCACTGAACCCCACAGGGAAGAGGCACGGAGACTGCGAAAGCTGGTGTCCGTGGGTCGGTAACGGAAGGTGCTGCCCTCCGGGGGAATCAGGTCGCCGGTACACAAGACTCAAGGCTCGGCTTAGTCTGTGCTTACAGCTTTATTCTCTCTGGGACCCAATCTCTGGGACCCAGTCTCTGACCCAGAATCCCAAAATCCCACTATTAAGAGAAGGCTAGGATATTTTATACCATGGGGGTAGTGGTAAAAGCTTTGGCTGTTAGATGCTTTGTGAGACATTCTATTTACATGTGGAAGTGGATTTCTGCCAGTCAGTTGTCTGCTAGGAAAATTACAGGAAGGCATGGTACCTTTCAGAGCCAAAGGCCATGTTTATGTCAAGGCATTTGTGGTGGCCACTTCAAAGGGAGAGACAGGAAAGATGCCAGAAAGCACCTTGCTATGAAAAGGAGCCCGCAGCACATTCCCGAGCTGCATGAGCTGTCCGGTGTGAAGGGGCTTCAACTTTTGCATAAAAGAGGCTCCCAACAGATCTTTACATTATAGCTATCCTCTTGGGTGTGAAGTGGTGACTCTGTGGTTTTAATGAACACTTCCTTAATGTCAAGGTTCAATTGACTGTCAGCTCAATATATCCTGTAACCCTAGGTAGTTTAAGCCTTTTGTTCCCCCCACAAATAATCTGTATCACAAATGAAACCAAGATAGTTCAAAGTCAACATCTTTTATAGGAACTGTATCAGCATAATAGAATTAGGTTTATTATTTTCTGATTCTAGAAATATAATCAGCAAATCTAAAAGGTTGTGAGGTAGCCTAAGAAATTCTTTATATACTTGAAATTCAACTTAGAGAACCCTACAGAGTATCTCAGACAGTCTCCTCAGAAATAGTTCAAACGATCCTATCATGAGGACCTATGTAAGCTAGTGAACTGGACAGAAGTGGTATCACATTAACTTTCTAGAGAAAGAAATAAAGTGATAGGTTTTCAAGTAAGAACTCTCTACCAAACACCACAAGATCTGGCCTACTGAGTTAAAAGGAGGTGTTTGTATTAGGGCCATTTTCTATAATACTCAAGGTGAGAAACTACAGGAACATAATGATTATCCCAAGCACTTATGTAGACAGCTAGTGTATGTATGGGTAAATATTTCCTTGACAGTCAAACATATTTTTCAGGCACCTTAACTTCTTCTTAATGGTTTAAAAGTATCAGTTCTTCCTTTGTTTTGGTGGTATGTGGTCCAACTTAAGCCATGTTCCCAACTTTTTGACTGTGAACAAAAATAGCACCAAAGGATAAAATTCATATTAATTATATGGTGATTTTAATTTTTAATGTTTAGGATATTGAGCATGGCTGAGTTTGAATGTAGAAATGAACAATGGCCTACTAATACATGACAGTTGTTGGGGACCCCTGCTGTTTAGGGT